GGGGAGGGCGGGAGCCAGCTCACAGCTCTCGGTCTCAGCCAGCCCTGAGGGATCTGCGTCTGCCCCACAGGAGTGGTGACAGGAGGAGCCGCCACCCTTGAACAGGGACCCAAACCGGAGACTGGGGCTCCTGCTGCCGGCCTGACTGCCCGCCCCTCACTGGCTCTTCTTCCGTGAGTGCCCTGCGCCTGTGCCTCCAGGACGCACAGGGGGGTGGGGGCGGTGAGGGAAACCCTGAGAGCAGAAAGTGCCCCCCCCCGCCCCCAGGGGGAAGGAAACCAGCAGCAGGGAAGTGGTTGCCCGCTGCACTGGTCTCTGGGGCCCTGGGTACAGAGTGTGCCCCCTCCCAGCCGTCCTGGGCAGAGGAAACGCAGTGCACCAGGGAACAGAGAGGGAGAGAGAGAGAGAGAAAGTGTGTGTGTGTGTGTGTGTGTGTGTGTGTGTCCCCTGGCATCTCCCTGGGGCAGTGACACTCCCTCATTTGCTCACAGGTGATGCAGACCTGTGTGCCCCCCACCTCCTGGACCCTCCTCCTGGCCACACTGGGCTCCGCAGCCAGCCTGTCACTGGAGCCCGGCTGTACTGCCCGACACCTGGCCAGGTACAGCCTCACCTTCACGGGCAAGTGGAGCCAGACGGCCTTCCCCAAGCAGTACCCCCTGTTCCGGCCGCCCGCCCAGTGGTCCACGCTGCTGGGTAAGTCAGCGCCCACCCCCTCTCCCCGTCGTCACCCTGGCTGGCCGGCTGCTGGGCACCTTGTGCCGGTTGGAGGACAGGGTTACACCCCACTAACTGCCACCCAAGCAGAGAGTGCTGGTCCCTAACCTGCCCGAGGCCCTGGGGGAGGGACCTGCAGGAGGGCAGCTGGATGTAGTCCTGGGAAGATCTCACCCTGGTGAGCCTGCATGGTGGGGGGCAGTGCTCCCCACAGCCCTCACCTTGGGGAGGGGGCTGCTAAGGGGGGCCCACAGGGCTGGCCCCAAGGGAGGGTGGGGGGCTGGGCCTCCTCCTCAGAGGGCTGTCCATCCCCAGGGGCCACGCACAGCTCTGACTACAGCATGTGGAAGAAGGACGAGTTTGTCAGCAACGGGCTGCGGGACTTCGCTGAGCGCGGCGAGGCCTGGCCCCTCATGAAGGAGATCGAGGAGGCTGGCGAGCAGCTGCAGAGCGTGCACGGGGTCTTCTCCGCCCCCGCCGTGCCCGCTGGCACAGGGCAGACATCCGCCCAGCTGGAGGCCGACCCCCGGCACTCGCTGGTGAGGGCGTGGCAGGAGGAGCAGAGGGGCTGGGAGGTGCCCCTGGGGGCCTCGGTGGTGGGCCTGCACGTGGGGGGGGGGGCCAGGTGGGGGTGCGGGCCCTGCCTGGCGGTCACCTGCCCCCCCCACCTCTCCGTGCACCAGGTCTCCTTTGTGGTACGCATCGTGCCCAGCCCCGACTGGTTTGTGGGCGTCGACAGCCTGGCCCTGTGCGAGGGTGCCCGCTGGAAGGACCGCGTCTCCGTGGACCTGTTTCCCTACGACGCGGGCACCGACAGCGGCTTCACCTTCTCCTCCCCCAACTTCGCCACCATCCCGCAGGGCACAGTGACTGAGGTGAGCGAGGGACCCCCACCCGCAGCGGCAGTCTGTCCTGTGCCCCCTGCCCCCCCCAGATGGGCCACCCCATTTCTAGTGCCCTGGATGGAGGGGTGTGGGAGCTGGCAGCTGAGGGAGGGGGGTGAGAGGAGGAACAGGGCAAGGGTGTGGTTTTGGCTGGGGGGCTTCTGCCCTGGACTCTCTGGGTCCTGGAGGGGTGGGCGTGGAGAACTCCCAAGAGTGAGCCTGTGGGCTGTGAGCTCGCCAGCAAGGCGCTCACCTGTGCATCCAGCAGCGGGGTGGCTCCACATCTTGGTCTCCTGCAGGCCCTGACAGGTGGGGTTCCGCTGCCAATCCACCCTGCTCCCCGGCCCCACTTCTCTCAAACCCAGATAACATCTTCCTCCCCAAGTCACCCCGCAAACTCCTTCTACTACCCACGGTTGAAGTCCCTGCCCCCCCTGGCCACAGTCAGCTTGGTGCGCCTCCGGCACAGCCCCCGGACCCTCCTCCCGCTGCCCACCCCGGACCTGACCGCCAGGGGGAACGAGATTCTGGACACTCTCACAGGTAGTGGCTCAGGAGAGGGGTGGGGTGGGGGGGACGGCCGGTGGGTACTCACAAGCTGCACTGTGGGGTGAGAGGGGCCTTGAAACGCACCTCACTGCCCCCCTCCACCCATGAAGACCAGGACACCTCATGGGGTGCTGGGCAGAGTGGGGGTCCTGGGGAAACCTTGGGGCCCCTCCTTCGGGCCCCCTCCCATGGGCTGTGGCTTAGGGGTGCCAGAGTCCAATGCCTGATGCACACACACACCCCTCACACACACAGAGTCCGACGCGCGCACACACACCCCTCACCCCCAGCCCGTTCCCCCCAGATCCTACAATGGCCTCATCTCTAAAGCTGGCCCCCCAGCGGAGGGTTCTCCCCAGGAGAGACAGATTGCAGTTGGTATGGGTTGAGCAGCACCAGGTCCAGGGGCTCGCTGGTGGGTGGCGTGAGGCCCGTCCTCTCACCCTCCTGGGAGCCCAGGAGTGGCACCAGCAACCCCAGGTGACAGGTCAGCAGAGGTCTGGCCACATCATGGTTGAACACGCGACTGCTGGCTGACACATCCATGGTTCAAGCCCACCCGTCTTATCCTGGGGACAACGGCCAGGCCATCAGCTCCCCTAGTTTGGGGGCGGCAGCACGAGAACCCCAAGGGGCAGTTCTGCAGGTGATGGGCCCCAGCCGCTGCAGAGTGGGGCTGTGGCCTCGGCGCCCTGCCCAAGGCTCCAGGCCGCAGACATGGCCCCCACCTGTGGCCCTGGGGTCCAAGGCTGGCTTTCACCTCCCCTCTGAGGGCCCAGCGTTCAGCGTTGGCCTGGGGCACCTGCCGGGAGCGCCCACCTGCCCTCTGGGTCACATGAGCCCAAGCCTCTCTGAGCCAGGTCAGAATGCGGGGCTCCCTGGTGTAGGTGAGCCTGAAGCACCGGCCCAGGGCTCTTGCTGGACAGGGAAGGAGCCAAACTCAGTGGCAGCATTCACCAGGATCTCACTAAAGAGCGGGCTAGCTGGTCTGGCCACAGAATGGAGATCCCACTGGGCCCTCAGGGCTCACGCCCCGGAGTGGACTGTGGCATGATCCTCAGAGAGCTCCAAAGAGCAGAGTCCGCCCCTGGAGGACGGGACTGCATGGAGTCTGTTGGTGGCACCCGCCCAGCCTTCAGTTTGGGGCCTGGGGCCCTCACCTGCCAGCCACAGTAGGAGGTCCCAGGCAGCATCCCTTCACAGCATGCAGGGCACCCTTCTCCTGTTGGCCTAAGGTGGGGTATGGTAGTGCCCCCACCACCACACAGGCCACCTCTCCGTTCAGGTCCCCCCCCGCCCCAGAGGGCGGAGCTGCGCCTGAACCCCTCTCCCCACTGAGAAGGCTTTCCCTGGCTGGTTGCAGAGGTCTGAGTGTGGGTCACTGAACAACGCTTCTGGGTGTGGGCTGGGCCCAGCAGACTCAGGTCTCTGTCTCAGCACCCCGGGTGTGCCCCTGGGGTGGGCTCAGCCTCAGCTCAGCTCGGCCACAGGACATGTGCCCAGGTGAGAGTCCAGTCTCCAGAGGGGCCCTTCTGAGACCCCAGCACCACCGCTGTCCTGGATTCCCAATGACCCCAGGGGACAGCAGTGACTCAGGACTGGCCTGCCTGCCAGGCCTCACGCAAGACACCCCTCCCCCAGAAGCCCAAAAAGACACTATGAAACAGGGCCCCCCCACCCTCAGGGGCACGCACAGCCCAGCAGCCTCGGGGCAGGGTGGCACCTGCCCCCTTACAGGCAGGATAGACGTGGTCACCAGAGGAGCGCTGGCTGACTCTCCCTGAGCTGTGCCCTTGCGGGGCTGGGAAGGCAGTTGGGGGGGGGGGTGTCGGCTTCAGTGTGGTGGCCGGGGCCCAGGGTGGCCCCCTCCATCAAGCTCCACCTTAGAGAGCTCTGGGGAGCCCGCTCACATGGGGGAAATCACCCTAAGTACCCAGCTTACTGCCGTGAGTCACGTCTGACTCACAGCTCGCCTACAGGCAAGTGCTGGTGGAATTCGTGGGTGGCCTTCCACCGAGAGGTGGCCTCTGACACCACCCTCCCCTCCAGCACCCAAGGAACTGGGCAAGAATCTGAGCACCTATTCTGACTCTTCACCTTGCTTCCAACCCGCCTGGGGGTCCTGGAAGGGCCAGCTTGCAACCACCACGGACGCCAGCCCACCTCCTGGCTGCCTGAGAGCGCCCTCCTCCTCTCAGCCCAGAAACACAGGGGCTGTCCCACCCCCGCCCCTCAGCTCCGGCCACATCCCCGCCTCTCCCCCCATCGATGTCCATCACGGCCTTGGTAGCTATGGTGGGTGGGGTACTATTGCTAATGGTCTCTCCCCAGCACATACAACTGGAAGGTCAGCTAAGGGAGGGGGGCTCCCTTCTTCAGCTGGCCCTGTGGGCCTTGCCGGCCTCTGACCCGCTGATGGATGGGGTAGTCTTTGTGGAGCTGCACGTGTGCCAAGGGAGAAAGGCCTGGCATCTTCAGGGCACCCCCCCCCCCGGAGTCTGGAAGGACCCCCAGGCATGAGCCTGGCTGGGCTGGTGCCCTGGGCCCTTGACTTCTAAGCATACCCAGGAAGCCCTGGGCAGCCCAGTGAAGCGGGCCATGTCCCCAGCAGGCAGTGAAGGGGCGCAGCAGGATGGCTGCTCTCCCAGGTGGGGGCCTGGCTGGGTGCTCGGGGCCCAGTGGACATGGCCCCCTATGGACTGCGTTTTCCACACATTCTTATCTCCATCCAGATTCTTCAAACAGTCATGTTGCTGGTGAGGGGGACTGCTGGCAGGGCTCGAGGGGCAAGCAAAGCCTCTGACTGGGGTAGTGGCTAGGCTGCGTTGTGGGGGAGGCCCTGTCGGGTCGACCGGGAAAATTTAAACTGTGCTTTGAAGCTCCCGGAAAGGGAAGACATGGAAACCCAGCACCTAGGTGGTAACCCCAATACAAGGCCCAGCCAAGGGCCAACAGGAGGCGAAGCGGCCATTGCAGCTTGACCCCACCCCTCGGGGGCCAGCCTGAGTCTGCTTGGGTCTAGTGGTAGCAAGCGTGCTAGGCCCCACCCACCAGGCAGGATGCCTGCCCCCACCAGGAAGCACTTGCCGGCTCGGCCGGGCGCCAGAGAGCCACAGAACAATGACCACTGTGGAGAGGCTTAGCGGGGCCACAAACAGATGCATTTGACTGCTGGACGTGCAAGGGGCCTGAGCCCCATGCGGCCACAGCCCTGGGACCCTGGTGGCCGGCGCTCCATCAGCACCCTGGCGGCTGGTGGACAAATGGCTGCGGCTGGTGTAGACTGTGGCTCAGACTCCCCTGGCAGCTTCCTCTTGGGTGGTGGCTTTTGGGAATGTCCACCTTCGCACACAGGGAAGGGGGGCTACGTTTCCATTCGTGCACTCCCCCCACCACCCCGCAGCCCTGATGCCTCACACCAGGAGCTCACGTCCCCGGTCTCTGTCTTGGCTTCAGCTCCAGAGACGCCGCTAGACTGCGAGGTGTCCCTGTGGTCCTCCTGGGGACTGTGCAGAGGGCGCTGCGGGAAATTGGGGGCCAAGAGCAGGACCCGCTACGTCCGAGTGCAGCCCGCCAACAACGGGACGCCCTGCCCCGGGCTGGAAGAGGAGGTGGAGTGCACCCCTGACAACTGCGTCTGAGACTTGTCCCGAGACCCTCCGCCCCTGGAAGTGAGGTGGGTGGGTGGGTGGATTTGGGGCTGTAAGGGGCCAGCGTCTACTGATCCGGGCCTGGGGTCTCCAAGAGGTCGTCTTGAACTTATACCTCAAGGAGGGGGTGGGGTGGGTCTGGCCTTAGCCTGAGTTGCCTGTCACATTCCTGCACCTAGTGGGCCTTGGGGTGGGGGATGGGGGGTGGGGGGACATTCTCTGCTCACAGAAGTGCCCGACAGTGCCTCTGGTGGCCCGGAGGCACATCCAGGGTAGCTCCTCCTCTCAGCCCTGGTTTTGGCATCTGCTGACCCCTCTCCTCCTGTGATCCCATCTGGCTCTGCTCTCAGGCCCTGCCCCAGGCTCCAGAATCCCTCCCCTGGACCATGCTGCCATTGTAATTTATTACCCCACCAAGACTGTGCGCCCCTGCGTGGCCGGGTCATTCCTCACATCTGGGCGCCACCAACGGGGACCGCACGCCTTGTCCCTCCCATCGGGGGGCTCCCGACAGCCCAGGGGGTAAAAAGTTTGAAGGGCGGGTTCTGCCCATCCACCTGGACGCCCCACACGATTGTCTGTGTGCCTCAAATAAAGACTTGCTGTCACAAGCGGAGCCCAGGTGCCAGGCACTTGCGAGGGGACCCGGTCCTCCCAGCCCCCTCTGTTTCCCCTGCTCCCTGGGCCCCGAGTCTCAGGAGGGCTGGTGGGGAGGAAGCACTGTCCACTTGGGACCCAGGATAGGGGCTTAGAAGGGGGAGGGGGTCCCTCAACATGCAGGCGTCCCAATGACCTCCAATGACCTGACTGCCACCTCCACACCTAGGGGGGCCCAGCGGCTCTCACAGGTGGTGCCAGGGTCCCAGGAGAGGGGGTGCCCAGGCTGCTCACCTCGGACACAAGTCCTCCCCCTCGCCCCTGGGCGCCCCCGCCCCTCTCTGTCCTATGGGGGTGCTCACATGCCTGCTGTCTTCAGCTGGACCTCCTAGGATCGCAGCCTGCCCCCCGACCCCCGACGTCAGCCCACTGCTTGTGACCCCTGAGAACTACACAATGGGGTCTGTGCCCAACGTGCCCTGGATGCCCGCCCATCTGCCCGCGGGCCTCCCCGCCCAGCTCACCATCTTCAACATGGCACTACCCTGCTGGAACCAGCTCTTGTCCAGGGGACCTCCCCGCACCGCACGCACTGTCCACTGCCTTCCTCCACCTCTGCCAGAACTAGCGTGCCCACCTTCAACACCCCGATCAATTTGCGGACCCTGGGCTCCCAGCCACCCCAATCTCTGCCCTCTACTCACTCTTCCACTACCACCGGGGAGACTCCAGCGGACACCCAGGGGACCGCGGCCTACCGGAGGAACCCCCAGCCCAGATCCCCCTCTCTGACCACCCCCCCTTCACTGCCCCACAAGAACCAGCGTACCCACGCTGCTCGTCCTCGCCGGGACCCAGTCCGTTTGCAGACCCTGCGTCCCAGTCCCCTGGTTTGTCCCCCTCACCCCCAGCCTGTACTGCTCAACTGGAACTATGCCACATGCCTGGTCCCTTGACGCTGGCCCCGTGCCTCAGGACCTCCCCTCCCGGCCCACCATCTCTGCCAAACCCTCCCCTGCTCCAGCAGGACACACAGAAGCCAAGATTGTGTCCTGGGAGGATTTTGTGAGGGGTCACTACACGGTGCTGGTCCCCCGGGAACCTCGTGCCAAGGGAAAAAGACACACATCCATAGTTGGAAACATCTCAGGGCAGAACCTAGGCGGGGCATCATCAGGAGGTGTCTGAGCGACAGTGTGGCCTCCATGGGTGGGAGGAGAGGGGTCCTGCCACAGGCTGAAGCATCTCCTCTCCCCCTCGGGGTCACAGGAAGGCCGTCCTGGGAGTGGCCTTCGTCCTGGGAGTGGCCTTCGGGGCTCGAATGTCTTCTCCCTCCCCCCTCGTTGGCATCCTATGGACTGCTTTGCCCCCTGCTTCCCAGAGGCCTAATGATTGGTCTGCAGTGGTAACCTCAGCCCCATGTCTGACCCCCACCCCTGAGGAGAGGAGGAGGAAATGCCCCCCCCTCCCCCGACAATGCTAAGAGGGGAGGCCCTTGGGGAAGTCCTTCCATCCGGCCAACGTGGAGGCACCTAGGACCACGTCAAAATGTGCACTGTCCCCTTCCCGTCCTGTCGCCACGGGAGGAAGGACGCTCTCCCAGCGTTTGGCCCTGGGGCTTGGGATCTGGAGAGGCCGGCTTCAGGAAGGTATGGGGCCCAAGACAGCCTGGCTCCGGGAGGGAGGTGTGCTGAGAGGACACAGGCCCCCGGCGGAGCCCCCCAGGAAGTGGAGGAGGCAGGCAGCAGGGGTGTCAGCAGCCCAGGGACGTCTAGCATAAAGCCCAGCTTGCCTCCCACCACCACCAAGGTCTTTGCCACAAAACCACACCCCACACACACACACACACACACACACCCCCAGGCTCTGGGAAGTCGCCTGATGGCGAGCCGGCAGAACTGGGATGAACCGCATCTCTCCCCGCTCCGGCCTCAACACCGCACAGGCTTTGGCTGAGGCCAGGGAGGTGGGGGCTCCACCGGGAGCGACAGGAAGGGGTAAAGGAGAGGGAGGGTCTCCCCGGCGTTTGAATCAGCTTGGAGCTAGGTGAAAGAGTGTGTGTGTGTGTGTGTGTGTGTGTGTGTGTGTGTGTGTGCCCTCTGCCCACAGTTACCAGTACTTAGGAAGCATCAGTTATGCAAACAGGAGGAGCCCCTCCTGGTCCAATGACGAGCGTCGTCTGTTATTATGCAAATGAGGCGGCTGACCTGGCAGTTAACTAGGCTGGGGACAGGGGAGGAGGGGTGTCTTATCTTGAGGGGCCTGCACAGCCTAGGGTGAACGGAGAACGCTGACCGCCACTAAAGAAAGGGCATGTACGGTGGGCTCTTGACTCTGGGGGAACCTTCCAGACTGGGTGCTTTCAAATGGAGCCCGATCCTCACCTTGTAACCTGGCGCTTCCCAAATCAGCCATCACCACCGTGTCCTGTGAGTTCTGCGTGGCCCCTACTCAAAGCAGCCCCATGGGGTCCCCAGCTCTCGGGAGATCCCTCTTGCAGCCTTGCGTGCTATCCAGGGATGGCGTGCCCTGTGGGAGACGTTTCCCGGACCTTCCGGTTCCCTCATGAAAGTTGGACTTTCGCTCTTGGAAAACCATCCCCCAACCTAACAGCGTCCCCTTGGGCAGATGGTCTCTCTCGCTCCCAGGACAAGCGTCCCTGTGTTGGCTTTGTCCTATTGAAGACTAAATGTTCTCTTTCGATTTGAGATGTGGGGTCTCTCGTGTCCCCTAAAACAGAGGCGTAAGCCTCATCAAGTTGCCCCGTGTCCATGAATTCTCCGTTTGTTTCTGCATCATAACAGACACCACCTTGCCCCTAGCCTTTGAACCGCCGGGCACGAGTCTCTACTTCCAGGGGCCACCTGGCCTGGAAAACCGGCCTGACGGCTGGAAACACCCATGGCTGCCAACTTCCCGTTGCTGAGACAGGAAGAGGAAGAGGAAGAACCAATGATCTAAAGTCAGGGGACCACCAAGTCAATGTCAACTCACAGCGACCCCGTGGGACAGGGCAGAACTGTCCCTGTGGGCCTCTGAGACTGTAACAACTCTTCACGGGGGGGACAAAGACTCTGCTTTCCCTGTCGGAGCAGCTGGTGATTTCAAACTGCGGACTGTGTGGTTAGCAACCCAACGCGTAAGCCCTGTCCCGGAGAGTTCCTCGAGCCAGGGAAACACCCAGCTGTTAGCAACAGAAGCTGCAAGGGCCACCGTGGATGGCCAGGTCACTCGGCCGTCCACACACAGGGGTTTTCTGGTGGCGCGACTGCATGCGGTGCTTGGAAGTAGCCGAAGCTTCTCCCAAGCCATTCTTCTGTTATAGTTGCTCTGGGAACTGTCCAGATGGTCAGTGTTGAGAGGACATGAGCCGCTCCCGGTCTTGCCCCAGGCTTGGCTCCCATCATGCTCAGGGGCTGAATTCTGTTCTCCACTAGCCCCAGCCCCCTGCCTCCCCCCATTACATAGCCCTAGGCCCAGAGCAGGGGGTCAGGAAAGGGTACTTGAATAAATGGGGCTGAAAATGAAGCCTGAGATTAAGGTTGGGACACCAGGGACAGACAGGAAGGAGGCTTGGCGCGGGGCGACTGAGGGTTCACACCATTGTAGTACCCCAACACACCGATGGTTTGGGGAGCCCAACAGGCCAGGGGAGTGTTTGGAGGGGCCACACGGAGCGCAGTCATTAAGCTTGCCGAAATAACAGCACGGTCCATCTTCTGCCTCCATCATCTCCGGGGCTATTAACTGCCACCAAGCCTATTCTGACTCATGGCAGCCCCACGAACGGGCCAGGACTGTCCCCGAGGGCCCTTGAGGCTGCCCACGTTTCTGAGAGGAGAAAGCCTCACCTCACTGTCCCCGAGGAGCAGATGGTTTCAAACCCCTGACTTTGTGGTCGGCAGCCCATCGGCCTTTGATCACCCAGGAAGTAAGAAGGATACTATCGCAGAGAAAAAGCAATCCCGTCCAACTGACCAGGGGCCGGCTACTGAAAGCAGACCTCGTCGTCTCCAGGGTGACAGGCAGAACCTGGACTGCTCGAAGCACAGGGCATGCGTGGTCATCTTAAGGAAGGGCAGCCTGTGAGGCTCCTGTGGCATCATGGCCGTAAGTGGGCACAGAGGGTGCGGCACAAGAAGGCATGGAAGAAGCACTTCCAGGAGGCAGGCGGGATCGACAATGAGCAAGATCAGGGCAGCCACAAGGTCCTCCTCACTGGAGTGGAAGGGCAGAGAGAACGTGTCCACATGGTGGCATGGCCAGGGTGGCAAGGTGGCTCTTGTAGGCGCCCTGCCAGATCCTTCTCGTCCATCTGTGTCCCCGTCCCCAGCCTCTACTCGCTTGGCTGGCCTCTGCAACCAGCCTCAGGGCTCCCTTTCACAACTGGGCCACCTTGGACCAATGGATGCAGAGAGCCGAG